AATAATTGAAGCACTACTCAGTTGCTATTAGACAGCTGGGTCAATGATACATGGTGACACTTGTGTCGGTGGTCAATGTGTCACTTTGAGATGTGTCCCAAGTTTTTTGTCTGGTCTGAACTTTCTTTGGATATTTGAGAAATCCTGAGAATTTAAGTAGCGTCTCATTTCCCACCACCCTCCTTCTTTGGACTCTGCTAATTGCAGTGTTTCTTCACTGGACTCTTCCTTCATGTCATCTTTTTGGCTCAGAAAGCTCTGCAGGTCACTGGCATGCACTCCATCTGTGACCTGGCTCTTCCACTCACTTTGGGTGGCCTGAGCAAGGCACTTGTATTAGGTTTAGGTCCCTCAAATATAAAGTAAAAAAAAAAAAAATCCTACTTCATGGACCTTTGTTGGGGATTAAATGAGGTGACAAATATGAATTGTGCCTGTACAGAATAAATGAATGATAGGTTATAAGGGCAGGAAAGGACACAGTGCAGGTTTTCTAAGATCCCATGCAGACCAGGTAAAGGAGGAGTTCTGGAGCCCTCAGGGGTTTTTGCGGGCTTTTATTGGGGTTTACCAGGCATATGGCAGGCAGGAATGCTGGGGGGCCGGGAGGCTGGCAGGCCTCCCAGCCCCCAGTAGGTCTTCACTCTGTGGGCTCTCCAGCCTTCTCTCGGCTTCTGCTTTTTCTTGCTTCTCGCTCGACTTCTGCTGGTGTCCCCGTGACACCGCCCTTAAAAGCAGTCTTAGCCCAGGTGAATCCCATCTACCTAGGCCCACACCCTATTCCTGCCATCAGGCATGCATTCAGGACCGCAAGGATCCATCATCTATCCTGATGGCAGGAGAGCCTGACATTTTCTTTTCCCTACATAAGTTCTTTCGTGAATATAACAAAATAGGGCCTCTTTGGTGGCCAGGGGATAAGTCTCAGTGCTATCAACACTAGGGCCTGAGTTCCTCTGCCAGGGAGGTGACCCTCATGGCACAGCAGATCTCTCCTGTCTCACCCACTGTTCCCCTTAGTAGTGTATTTCAGTGGATCTCCCTGTTCTGTTCCCCACTCTGTCTCTGGTGAATCCTCTAACCCTCCCATACCCCTACATCTCTGGCCTATGCCCCAGGTTTCTATACAATAAATAAATAAAATCTTAAATATATATATATATATTCTTTAAAAAAGAGGATAACAAAATGGTAGAATAGTCATTATATTTACCTATGTGGTAAATATACTATTCTATACTATACTAGTGGCATTTTGTGTTCTTCCTGTCACCCCGGTTTCCTTCATTTCCCCACCTTGCCCCCCACCACTATTTGAATGTTCACTGCCCAACCCTATCTCACTCTGGCTGGTTTCTCTGCATGGAACTCTCTCTTTATTCCCTATCTCCACACTAGGGTTGCTTCCCTTTCATTCCACATATTTTTTGCTTCAGTGACTAACCCAGGCTTTTGGGATACAGCAGTGAGCAAAACAGAGTCCCTGACCACATAGAGCTAGCATTCTCAGGATAGGGGTGGGAAGAGAGAAGTAGATAATTAGTAAATGAATTTAATAGATGCCAGGTGCTTGTAGTTATAAGACTGAGTAGAGCATGATGGGGGGAGGGGCAGTACTATGATTTAGAGCTAGTTGGGAAGGGTTCACTAATAATGGGTAGTTTGAGTCCTGAAGGAAACATGCCTGGCATCTTGCAGAAAATCTGGGAGAAGATTCCGGGGAAAAGGAATAGAAAGTGCGGAGGCCCTGAAGCAGAAGATAGCTAACAGAGCCCTTCCTGACTGAGCTTACCCTGACACTCAAATTTATATTCTCTCAGGGGCACACTATTCTTTTCCATAATAGCACTGATCTCCATTTATGTTTTACATATATTTTAAACTATATCATTTACTTGCTTAATTATCTTCTCCTTTCACATTATAAATACTGCAAGAGCAGGCATCGTATTTGTTGCTGTTTTCTCTAATTTCTATATCCAGAATGTACCCTGGTGTTATTGAGGGTGAATTATTGAATGAATTAATTAAAAAGGGTCATTAATGACATTGTGCAATAATCACTCACAATGTTCCTTTTGCCATATGTGAGATTTTCTGGAGTGGGAGGGGTCTCCCTTGAAGTACTGGTATCTTCTTTCTGCTAATGAGCACAAATGGAGTATAATTTCTGTTTTATGTGTAGAAATTTTATGCTCAGTAAGGGTGTAGGGTAAGGCAAAAAGTATCAGGCTTTTCCACCCTTCCGGTCCCGAATGCATGTCTGATGGCGGGCACCTGGAGTAGGGTGTGGGCACATGTGGATGGGATTCACCTGGGCTGAGACTGGGCTTTTAATAGTGGCATCACGGGGACGCCAGCAGAAGCCGAGAAGAGAAGAACAGATGCAGAGGAGAAAAAGCCAACTGAGAATGAAAAAGCTGGTACTGAGATTGAGAAGCTCTGAGCAGCTGTTAAACACTAAGTAAGCTAAAGAAGCCCTGTGAGTCTCTTAAAATCACCTGTGGGTGAGGCCCTGCTCATTGTTGAGTGAGGGTGAGGAGCTAAGGAACCTGCCCTTGGGGAACCGGTGGGGAACGTGGCTTGGGGTGGAGCCCACAGCCAAAGAGGGGACCCAAGGGAGTCCGCATGTGGAGCTTGTATCCATGGATCCCCGACCCATGTGCTTGTGCAGTGGGTTGGCCTGAGTGCAGGGGTCTGCGTGTCGCATTGGTGGCTATGAAAGCCAAGTGTTGGAGCGACCGCAGACAGAAACCCCGAGGGTTGGCGATTACCCCCAACAGAATAGAATCGCCAGTCCCAGACCGAGTGCATGCTGGGGGGGATGCGGTATGTGGCTTGTGGCCAAGACCACAGCAAGAGAAGGCCAGGAAGCCTGATGGCTCCTGGTGTATGACAGCAGATGCCGTGAGTGGTTTCCCCCCTTGTATAAGCAGTGCCTTTGGCAGCAGAAGTGGTGATCACCTGCTGGTGCCAATAATTGTCTTTTGCCACTAGGTTGGTGCCCTGCCTGGACTTACTTATGTTCTGTTGTGTTTTGTTATGTATTTCATTTGCTTTTGTGGGCCACGGCTGTAGTGTTCTATTGCCAAGAGAAACGTACATGACTTATACAGACTGTCTGGCAGAAAACCCTGAGGGGGTGGACTGTAGGGTAAGGTAAAAAGTATCAGGCTTTTCTGCCCTCCTGCCACTAGGCTAGATGACGGAATCCTGTGGTCCGAATGCATGTCTGATGGCGGGCACCTGGAGTAGGGTGTGGGCATAGGTAGATGGGAGTCACCTGGGCTAAGACTTGGCTTTTAAGGGCGGCGTCACAGGGACACCAGCAGAAGCAGAGAAGAGAAGCAGAGAGAATGCCGGAGAGCCCAGAAAGAGTGAAGACTTGCTGGGGGCTGGGAGGCAGCCCCCTCAATCCCGGCCCCCCAGCACCCCTGCCGGCCGTGTGCCTGGTAAATCCCAATAAAAGCCTGAAAAGCCACGGTGGGCTCTAGGACTCTTACCTCCTTTACCTGGTCCGCTGGATCATAGAAAACCTGCTCAGTGGACTGTCCTGCCATTACAAAGGGCAATTGAAATAAGTCTTGGGGTTGGCATGCATGTTTATTTGTGCTTTCTCTTGCTGGTGAGATTGCATTTCTAGTCTTTCAGATTTCTCATTTGTGTTATTTAACTGAGTCAAAAATGGAGTGATATTTAGGTGGATAAGTAGAAAGGAAGAACAGAAGGAAAGAGAGGAAAGAAAATACATTCCTTCACAGTATTGCAAGTATCACTGAGTAATGCCCCTTTGCAAGGTGAGACTGGGAACGTAGCAAGCGCATGCTTTAAGTGTAATGATAGCTCCTGGTGAGGTCTGCTGGGCATGTATCAGGACCAGTGCCAAGTATTTTACACACAGGATCTCATTTAATTTGCTACAGTGCTATAGAGTAGCTATCAGTAGTTCCACGTTACAGATGAGTACATTACAGAAGAGAGGTGCTCTTGTGCTTCTTTAGACCTTTGCCCGGTCTTCAGTCCAGTACCTGGAGCCCTCTCGACCCCACAGACGGTAAATTTTCTGCTTGAAAGAGAAGTAGAAATGAGTGCCTTCCAACATCTTGGGCAGACCTGTCACAATTAAATCCAAACTGTTGTGATTCTGCCTCATTAGCTCACCCTGAGGTGCCAAGAGGGGTACTTTATAAATATCCATCATACCTTTACAGCAACAACGAAGGTTCATCCAATTTTCTTTATTTTTAAAGGACGTTTAAAAATAGCGAAGGAGTGCATGACACCCATTGTAAACTGGCAAGCTGGATCGTGGGAAGCCACTCAGACCTGTGCTGAGAAAGGTGACAATAAATTCGGTGTTGGCACTTCTGAGAAACTATAAGAAAAAACCTAGGTGTTCTAACTGGTCCCGCAAGTGAAACAAATCCCTCCTTGTTTTCACGGTGGCTTTGGGTATTCTCATGCCTGACTCAGAAACTGGGGCAACCGGGGGACTCCGAGTTCCGGGGCCGCGGTCCCAGGGCCTGCGGGGAGTCCACGCACGCAGATTCGCGCGCGCACGGACCCCCCCCCCCCCGCCGCCATCACAAAGCACAGCCCGGCACACTCGCACAGACATAGAGGGGCGCACCTGCACACACACACCCCGCCCACCGTCCACCTCACTCCTCAGACAGGTGCACGCGACCTCACACACCTCGCGGGCACGCACACCGCACACAGGCGCGCAAGGCGCCCGCTCGCACATGCTCGCGCACAGGTGCACACCGCGCGCGCGCGCCACACCCCGGGCACGCGCACACGCGCACACGCGCCCCCGGCGGGGCGGCCGGGGCGGGGCGCGGCGGTGCGGGATTGGACCCCGGGTGCCCGGCCGCGCGCCGCCAGGAGAGGGCGCGGCGCTCATCTGCCCGCGGGAGGAGTTTGCCGGAGCCCGGCCGCGAGACGCGCGGCGGAGCCGGCTCGGGTTGGACGGGGCTGGGCGGCCCGGAGGGAGCGCCGCGGGGAGAGCGCCATGGATCCCAAGGGCGGCGGCGGCGACGAGGATGACTGCGTGGACTCGGGCGCCGAGACCGGCGGGTGAGCGGAGACGGCGGGGCAGTTGGCGGGGGAGCGCTCCGAGTTGGCCGCGGCTCCCCTCGGCCTGGGACCTTTCGGGACCCCGGGGCTGAGCGTCAGCCTCAGCCGCGGGATGGCACCGCGGGGGCTCTCGCTCCTGCCCGGCGCCCTCGGGAAGCCGGAGGGGGCCGTGGCGGGCCCACTCTCTCCAGGGCCGGCCCTGAAGGCAGAGCCGCCTGGACCCTCGCTGCTCCCTGCAGGGCAGGCCCACCCTGGGGAGGGGGATGAAAGTGGAAGATCTCGGGGGTTCAGTGTAACCGCTCCCCTCCCTGCACCCCTGCACCCACACACACCCACCCCACCCCTCTTGCTCTCCGTTATTGCCGAGCTGATGTGGCGTGCCAGGCAAATGCGTGCCCCCCGTTATCATGATTGCAGAAGAGAGGTGCTCTTGCGCTTCTTTAGACCTTTGCCCGGTCTTCAGTCCAGTACCTGGAGCCCTCTCGACCCCACGATGGGGGTTTGGGTATAAGGAGAGGGAAAAGGAGGAGGGCATCTGGCGCCTTCATGTCTTTCAGAAGACTTAGATGTAAGAGAATGGCATTTTTCATTTTGTACCAATAGCTTGACTGTGCCTGAGACAAACTCTCCACCACCTTCCCGCACCCCGTGCACCTGTCCCAGCTGCACCCACTTGCCTTGAGCACAGGTGGAATGAAGACGGTGCTTCTTTAAAATCTCTTCGCTTCAACGGATCCAAACAATTAGCAAAATCCTTTGGAGACTAATTAGCCTTCTCTCAACAGCACCGTTTTTCCTGAGTGGGGAAAAAAAGACCTAAAGTCTTTAAAGAGATGAATAGTGTTCTAAAGGTTTCCACCCAGCCCCTATCTTTAGAGGATTTCCCTGTGCAGAGTCAGCGCCACATCCAGGATGCCTTAACCACCCAGAAGGAAAGGGTGTCTTTTCCTATCTAAAGTAACCCTGGGGCGTGCTGGAGCTACTGGCTGCCCAAGCTTGCAGAAAGCCATCCATCCTGGAAGGTTGGGAAGATTTAGACTAATCTCAGGGTTTGGCAACTCTGTGAGGGCAGGAAGAGAGCCCAGGCCCAGAATGGACCCAGGGGTCTAACATGACCCCAAAAAGGAAGCCCTTCCTGCCTAGCTCCACCCTTCCTTCCCCTCCCTCCACCCCATATTCCTGGCCCAAATTTTTATACCCTAAAGCATTTACAGTGCAATGGGCTTTCCCTATGACCCAAACTTGTGATCATTTAGGGTTCACTAGAGAACCCAATTACTTTCTGGTGGAGTAACCTGATTCAAAATGCTGAACTCCTTTGCTTTTCCCCACGCTTTGTATTTGTAGCATTTAGCAACTTTAATTGAAGATCCTTGGCATTTTTTTTTGTCCTGTCTCTAGTTGTACCATGAATAGAAGAAACAAAACAAAATTGACCAACTTATTTTCAGCTGGGTTAAATAAATCACCACTAGTGCCTTTGTTTTAGATTTGCCAAGCTCACCTAAGACAGTACTTTCCCAAGGACTTGCTCTTGAAGTGGAGTAGCTCTTACCCAGGGGGTCACATCCTCCCAAGAGCCCACACAAACACAGAACAGCCGCAAGGGCTCTTGGGAGGGGTTTACTGAAAACACTGACCCCAGAGCTTCTGTTCTCTGCCTGTCACTAAAATGTGTAGTTGTAACAGGACAGAATTGTTTAAATCTTACTGTCTCAGTAGCATCCTTTAGCGAAAGATAAAGGTAAAAAAGCATGCATTTAAAAAAGCATGCATTTACAGTGGTTTTAGCGTATGCTTATGAACCTTGGATTTGCCATATAGTCATATGTCCTTTGAAATATAGTATAGTTATCCAAAGTGCTAGTCATAGTTTTCCTACTTTTCCAAAGCTGCACCTCTTACCCCATCCTGCTGTCGTATAGCTACCAGACAAGGTTGGGTAGAAAGTACTCAATAAATATTTGCTCTCATTTTTAAGACACAAATCATATTGTTTCTCCCTTCCAAACTTTTAGTGGCGCTGTCATCTAAAAAGTGCAAAACGCTTAATGCAGCTTAGAAGCCCCAGTGTCATGGGGTCCCTCTCTCTCTGGCCTTGCTTCCTGGTCCATCTTTGCCCCCTGCATTCAGCCACATTGCCAGGGTTGTTCTGATTCCTTGCCTTTGTCGAGGCAAACTACCCTCTTTGCCAGCTATAATCTTCTCCACCTGGCATGCCTGTCCACAGGTGAAACTCTATTCTTCTTCTAAGATGCAGCTCAAGTGACACATCTGCTAAAGCAGGAATCATTAATTTGGGGTCCACAAAGTGCTTCAAATTGTATACAAAATGATGGCTTTGTAAATTTTTATGAAAAGAGACTTTTTCATCATGTTCTCAAAGCAGCTTGTGATCCCCTCCAAAGGGAAAGATGGGTTTCCATTCGATGTAAATACAGCCCCCCTCTTCCAAGAGACCGTGATTTGAAATGGTTTTGGGGGCAACACTGAGTGAGAACCCAGTTGAGATTAGTGAATGTAACTTCATGGGAATACCAGCCTGCCTGGCTATTTTTTTTTTTTCCTGCAGCAGTACTCAGCTTCCTGGCAGAGAGAGTTCATGGGGAGTTGGGATCATCAGAGTTTTGGGGAGAGGGATTATTGCTAGGCTGGTGTGAACAAAACATAGGAGCAGGGGATTTGGTTGAGCTGACTAATGATTCCTTTAGTAACATAATCAGAGACAGTTCCAAGAACTTTTGTGGGCCCTGCTGCCAGTGGGCAAACTGTGCCAATCACTTTGAAAGTTGCAGTCAAAAGAGCCAGTCTGCTGGGGTTCAGATTCTGACTTTTCTACTCAGGAATTGGGGAAGCTTGAGCTAATCACTTGCCCCGTCTCTGTCCTCCATTTTCTTTTGTGTAAAATAAGGATGATGATATTAGTACCCACTTCGTGGGTGGATTGTGTGTGTTTATCTAAAATTCCTAGAATAGTGCCTGATATAGAAAATCCTTAATTTCTCATTCTATTAATAATATGGAAAACACTTGAAGTGATAAACTTAATTTAGTGATAAACCTGGTATATAAAAATATATACTTTCAGGCAAACTCAACACATGTTCTTTATACTCACAGTGGATGTGCTGATTCTTTTAATTGATGTAAGCAATATTATCACCACTCAGAACATCTGAGAAAGTATATGACATGCCTCAGTATAATTATTACAATTTTATAGATAAACATTTGCAGGAAACAGGTTCGGACCATTCATGGTTAGTGGCCAACATTGAAGCCTGGTCCTCCAGCACAGTTCCCACTTAGTGAAGCTGCCTCTTAATAAGCCATCTGATCTGTACTTGTTTTCTGCTGATTTTTTGCTCGAAATGCTACCGTTGCTGTCTAATTCACCTAGTACTGGCTAAGACTAAAAGCAAACTGGTATTCTTTTGTAGCAATTGATGTCATTTTGGAACTCCCATTTTCCAAATCCACTTGAAATCAAGGCTTGTGTTTCTGTGTGCTTTTTGTTAGGGAAAAATCTCAAATCAGCTACTGAAGGTGACAAACTATCCTAAGAAACAGGATCCCTTAATAGAGAGACAGTGTTGTTGTCATCCAAGATAAAAGACATAGAATGAGTAGAACAAATGTTTTGTAATGGCTCTTTCATTAGCGGTATCTCGAGATTTGGCCTTTAGGTCACTCTTTTGACCATGCTTGATGGATTATTTTCAGTCAAAAGACTTCTGCTTCCATGTAAGCTGTCACTGAGCTTCTGAAGACGTAGGATCATAACATGCCCTTTATCTTTGGAAGCCTGCCAGCTGATATGTGGCTGTGATTTAAGAAAGTAACAATTCACTGGTCTAGGTGAAATAAATTTTAAATGGAACAGGTTTAAAAGACAAAAGGAGAAACCTTTCCTGGCAGACAAGCTGATCTATTAAGTACGCTATGCTCTTGTGCTCCAGGTGGAGCTAGTTAACTAAATTACCATGGTATCAATGTAATGGACTGAAAGTTAGCAGATGGCATCCACGATACATTCAGCTGATGCTTTACAGAAATGTCAAGATCAATTCTTAGGGCAAGATTTTCCTAGAAAAAAGAATTTAGGGGGGGTATTGCTAATATATTTGTTTACATAAATTAGCAAGTAGGCTGTTAACAGTGGTAAGCTATCTCAGGTGTAGAACTTTATACATAATCCTTATCTGTATAATTGCAATTAAAATATAGCAGAGATCACATCTAACTTTCTGTTCATTATTTGCAAGTATTAAATAAATGAAATATTTGGAATTGTGCCTACTCTATGTGTCAGAATGTGAAAATATATAATCCTTGTAATATTAGCTACATCATGTGTTCATAAATTTTAAATTCACAGATTCACCTTTCATGCTTCATTTTATGCAAAACCAGCAAGGTAAATTCTTAAGATGGGAGACCAATAAACAGGATTCCCAAGACAGGTACTCTACTGCTGTTCCCTCCTACCCTAAAAAAAAAAAAAAATCTGGGGAACATACCCCTTTAAAGAAGGATAGTATCTGGTTCTTTGAAATTGTTTGAATCTATTTATGCACAAAATTATCTTAAGCTTTATAATTCACTGACAGTATTTCCAGTAAATAATCTTTTTGGTGGTTTGGAAAGCTATAAAAATGTTCATACCTTGATTTAGTCCCTATTTCCTCTCAAGATAACTTTTCCAAGGAAAAGAAAGTGAATCTAAAGTTGTATTTTTAATTATGTCATCATCCTGTGCTTTGTAAAAGTGAACCATCAGGAACAATCATTGGGGAAATGGTTGAATAAATGATCAGTAAATCACTTTAAAATTATAATTATGGGAACTCTGTAGTAGCCTATAATGATGATGGAAGTGAAAAGAGCAGTTTAAAGTTCTATCTTCATTATTATGGCAACTGTGTACAAATTACATAAACAGGATCAGAGGCTGGAGAGCAATGTGAGATTTTAGGGGATTTTTCTTTCTACTTGATTTCTTCTTTGATGGTGAATGGGGATGGAAGTTGGGGGATGGGTGGGAATGCAGAGCTGGGCCATCCATCCAGAAGACAGGGATATATAATGTAAACTAGTGAGCTTGAGCTTTATCCAGAGACTGACATGATCACATTTGTGCTTTGCAAAGATTGGCTGCTCTATGAGGAAGAAATGAGGTGGGGTGAGTCAGGAGACTGAGCAGGCGTCAGGTGTGACCTGGTCAGTGCCTTTAGTCACAAGAAATACAGAAGGATTCCTGGCAAGAAGTATTAGTTATACCAGAATCTTCCCTAAATTAATGCCATTATACTTTAAGACTCTTGAAATATGTTTCAAATGTAAATTTCATTCTATATACATATCCATCTGTATGTAGAGCTTTAAAATATATGCTGTGTGAATCCCATCTGCTGCAGGAATATTTGGAAAATCCTAGCTGACAAATACAAATTTTTCATTATAAAATAATTACTAGTATCTCATGTTTTTATTGAACATTTTGTGTGAATTGTCATGACGTTTCTTTAAAGTTTGGTCATCTGAACATGATCATATTGTAATGGAATGGTTTCTCCATTGCTTCTACCACAGTGAATATTTGTTGAGCATTCATTGTGTTGATATATAGTTAAAATTTTCAGAATTGTCCTAAAGTTTATTAATGTCCTGCCAGATTCCAGAAAGAATTTAATGCACTAAAGCTGATATTACAAACCCTAGGTTCTGAAATGTTACTGATCCTTGACTCTCCTCTCTCATCTTCCCTCAGCCAGCATGTCATCATGCCTTAGCCAGTCCCTTCCAGCTTCTGACTCCTTCCTTGCTACTGCCCTGCACACCTAGTTCAAGCGCTTATCATTTACCTGCTGCATCCTTACAAGCAACAACTTTAATTTCCTAATTAATAATATAAAAATTTGATTAGATCTATGGAGAGGCACTTGGTAATAAAGAAATAAGCAAATGTTAGTGTTGTTATTCTTTCGACTTTCAAAAATTCAGTGATTCTGTGATTACTAAGTGTTTCATTTGAAAAGAGAAAACCATATGTTGTTTTTCTTCTATTTTGTCCCTCTACTAGTAAATCAGTGCATCATTTTGTGTCAGAGATAATGGTTATTTTAACTAGTAAGAGACATGCTTATCATATTTTTTAAAATTTTATATGTGGCTTTTTAATTTAAAAAAAATTGAGTAAAATTTGGGTGATTCAGGAAAAGCAGCAAGAGACTAAATAAATAAAAGGAATGTGTAGCTATACAATTAAACATAATTCAGCACTCTATTTCCCTATCTGTTTCCTAACTACCACCTTGGCAGAATAAATCCCTATATGCCTAAAAGATTAATTTCCTATTGAGAATAACTTTGGGCCACTGGAGGGAGAAAACCAAGATCTCCTATAGCAACACAGTGCCAGAGAGGGAAGGCTTATGGCCACACAGTAGGGCAGAAACTCAGTGGAGATTAAGCAGGCAGAACCTTGGCAGGATTCCCATTCTCACAGAACTGGAGCCAGCAGCAACTCTTCAGCATAGAGACTGAGGGGTCATTTTTCCCAAGCCCTCACCCTGCTTTTCTCTGTCTTGATCACGGCCCACATCCTGAGACTCTTAATGTCCAGCAGCCTACTTCTCAGATAGAACTGAACTCAGTCAGAGTCTTTATGCCTCTGTGTTTCCTGATGGTCAGCAGACCATGAATATGGAGACTTGACAGCCAGAGTTCCCTCCTCCTGTCACCAGGCCCTCCAGACCTCTGCACAGTGCCCATGGTGTGGTGCTAACACTGGAAGGGTGCTCACCTTCAGGGGTTTGACCTTGGGAAGTCAGGAACTCCTCTCCTCTGAGAGCCTGTTGAAAATGTTGAGCTTCTCAGAAAAAGAGACTACCATTTCAAAATTTGCCAGTACATTTAGGTGGTTTTCTGATTGTATTTGATCTCCCATCTGTGAGATTCACTGAGCTTAAATGAAGGATCCCAGATTTCTAAAGTGCCTTTAAAATTTTGCTCTCAAATTGAACCATAACTTTATGCAAAATAATCCTCAGCCACTACAGTTTTTAATTTAGTGGTATTTCTTTACGAGTTATGTGCTACTAACCGCTGACTAAAATTTTAGCTTGAATAAGTCATTTGAATAAAGAAAAATAAAATCTAATCCCACTAATGCTAAGGTTTTGTGTTTCAGGTCTGACTACAGCCACATGTCCTCTACCAGCAGTAAGTACCATTTAAAAAATCTTTCAGTATTGTCTGAACAGCCCCCCTCAGGGTCATTCCCATCCACAGACATAGGTGGAGAAGGCCATCTACATAACACATGCCTTAATAGTAAATAAGAATCACTGGAGGTATCCTTGACAAGAACGTGAGAATAGGGCCTCCCCAGTGGCGCAGTGGTTGAGCGCTGGGCTGCAAAGCTGTCCATAGCCTCTGCAGCGCCTGTTTAATCCCCAGCCGCCCGCAAGGGTCCCACATGGCGTGGCAGACCTCTCCTGCCGCGCCTCCTACTCCCTTCAGTGGTGTGTTTCATCAGTCTTCCTGTTCTGTTCCTGACTCTGGTGAATTCTCTCACCCTCCTGTGCTTCTGACTGTACCCAGTGCTTATATAAATAAATAAATAAATCTTTAAAAAAAAAAAGTGAGAATATGTCTTAACTCTGTTAGAAGTAGAGGCTTTTCCTATAGAATTTGGACGTTCATTTCAGAACTAGATATACCATTACTTTCACAGTGAGAATACAGCCTGCAGGAACTAGTCCAGGTTTCATTAGCACAGATGCCTCTAGAAACATCTTCACTGAAGAATCTCAGTTTCATTCAGCAAACATTCTTCAAGTACCCCTTTGCCTGCAGCCTAACAGCTTCAGCTTATTGTCGGCTCCATGGGGTTGCACATTTTCTCCCTTGTGTTTCTGTATCTGCAGGTAGTAATCATAGATGATTCTTATAGATAGTAAAAGAAAAGGGTAATATATTTATAAAATGTTTATAAAGATACTGAGTATTTAAAAGGCACTTACCTTAAATATTAAATTACAACTAAATCTATTAATGGTCTCATATGGAGGAACCATTTATAATGATCAAACCATGTATAAGATCAAAGCCATTCAGATTGATTGAACATTTTTAAATAACAAAAAAAAAGTCTTACAAAGAAGCCCTGATTTTTTTTTTTTCTTTTTGAATAAGTAAATACTGAATTGCTTTTTCCTATCTCATCATCCTGTTCTACTCTCAATTCTAAATAGTCCCCAAATGGAAAGACACTTAATTGGATTATTCTCTTTATTGATGTTCTGGCTTAGTTTTCTTTGCAATGGGAGACTGTGCAGAACGCTGTAGATCTGGAATTGTAATTTAGTGTTAAATTATATTTAGTTATTAGTATAAATGCAACAAGCACTTTATGATCATTTCAGCCAATTGGAGGCTCAACTTTGCCCCTTAGTTATTAAGAACCATTAGAAATAATGAGAATAATGCTACAATGATTTGCATTCACTCCCTGAAGCTTTGCATTTCTAAAATCAGCAAACACTCTCTTGAACTCTCTCTCTATGCTACCATTTTCATTCCACTCAGTTTTGCCCAGAGGCTACATTTCTTTAAGAATAATTTTTATAAAATACTTGCCTGAAGCCTTTGCTCAATTTATAGCTTACAAATCAGTCCTCTGGGTCACAACAAAGCATCTCTCTTGTCAGCAAAACCGGTAATTTGGTTTGGGATGTTTTCCTTTCCATTATTTTAATTGCGATCTGTTGAGTTGGAATTTCTCTTAGTGCAATTGGGATCAATACCCTTTCATTGCTTTATTTTCTCTTTGAATCTGTGTGATTCTCAGGGATAAGGCCTGTTGGTGAGTGAGGATGCACATATATTTCATATATAAGTTAGGAAATGTATTTCACTATAGGAATATATGAAAATAATGGTTCAAACAAGTAGGGTCACTCCCAACAGTATTTAAAAAATTAAGCACCAAAAAAAAAAAAAAAAAAAAAATTAAGCACCAAAGGGCCAGTTCGGATTTGGTTTGGAAACTTCTTTGGTTGTCTGCTACATCACCCTCAGCTTTTGGTTTCCATCATCAGCGTTGCCTCAGAGTTACAAGACAGCTGCCTTCACCACAGCCATCACATCCTCATTCTAGGCAGGAGGATGGGATGGGTAGATACTGTGGGACCCTTGGCTATCTTTGCCTAGTTTGTTCCCCAGCCTGCCTTTGTGCCTGGGCAACAAGCCTTAATTCTGGCCACACTAGAATTAATGGCTCTTAAGCAGTGAAAGGTAAAGAGAATCCTTCCTGGGAAAAGAAAAAATAAAGAGTCCTAAAATTATCATTTAAAACAAAGGTTCAACAGTACTGCAGTAATAAAAACTGTTTTCCAAGTATATTTTAAAAATCTTGTTTCCCTACAAACTAATCACACTCAGGGCATTTAAGTAGAGAGGTTGTTAATTTACCGTCCTGAGTGATTTAGGATTTCTAGGGCACTCTCCCTGTCAAAGCCGCTAGGTGTCTGTGCCCTCCGGTGGCCAGCAGGACCCAGAGGGCTACACTGTCACTGACCCATCCCAGGCCCCACTGGTCAGCTCCAGCCTCGCACTGTCATTCTGCTGCCATTGGTCAGCCTCTCTCCGCTATTGGCTTATTTCTGACTGATTCCTGATTAGGATTTGACAGTCTCCCCACTCACTCTTAGAAAATGGATTCTTCTGTCTAAGAGTGGTTCTTACTCAGCATTCACTTTATGCTCCTTTACTCATTCCTGAGTTCACAGGGGTGTGAATGCCTCCTGGAGTGAGCTCAGGCTAGGGTGTCTGCTTGTCCACAGCTGTTCTTCTACGTTATTAGAATTGTTAGGAGAGCTTCCTCTAGTCACTCTACTTAGTCGTCTTTTCCCTCAGAATGCAGAAGCTGCTTCTTGTACTGTTTGCCCCATGGGCGAAGGAGGGTCATTACTGAGAGAAAGTACAAGGGCAGTGGTGTGCGACTCAGGTGTCCTGGGTTCTAGTCCTGGTTCAGCTGTGAATTAGCTGTGTGCACTCCAGCAAGCAGTTTACCCTCTCTGGGCCTCAGTTTCCTCCTCTGTAGAATGGGGTGATAGGACTGGATACCCCAAAGGACCGTTACAGAAACTCTGGGTGGCTAATGTATCTTAGAAACTTCTCTGAAAAGAGAGAAGAAACGAGAGAAGAGAGGAAAGAAAGAAGGATCAAGGAATCTACTTTTTCTCTGCTTTCTCTGATCCAGCATAATAGTCTGGAGGAGACATCCTCTCTGGTGGCCTGTGTGTTAATCACAGGGTGAGGCAACTCAGAATCAGTCTGAGCTTCTGTGCTGTGAGCTGCCTACAAGTCAGTGTTGGTTGAGACTTTGTGGTGAGGGGTGCCCACTGCTTTTTAGCCCTCCTCTTCAAAGAAACGAGCAAGGTCTGGGGTGCAAAGGGCATGTGGATTGTTGGGCACCCTGTTTTTCCTGTTTCATGTCACCAAATCACATTTCCACTGACTACGTCCTCTGTCACTTCCAGCACTGGGTGCAGTGGCTGATGGGCCGAGGGATCTTTTTTAATGAATGGTTTAGTTTTGTGTGGTTAGTTTTTTTTTTGGTCGCAACGAGTCCATTTGAGTTGTTTGGACTGACAGAACAAACAGACTTTTTGTTTTCTGAAAAGCTAAACATAGCACGCATGAGATCTTAATAAATCATGCTTTCTAATGAAGATGACTTTATGCTCAGAATTTTAGATTGTTTTTCCAGAAATCTGGCTAGAAGATCATCAAACCACTATGTACCATTTGCATTCTTAAGTGATTTAAATAAAGAGGGGAAATTTTCTAAACAGGATAAGAAAAACAATAATTATGCCAAGGGGAAAAATCAACTGTGCCATGCAATGCTAATGAAGTTCCCATCACATATGATTGAATATTTCTGTTCAAGTAAACATGATGATCAGACTTACAGAATTACTCTTGGAAGATGACAGAAGCTTAAAAATGATACTTTAATCACACTTTTTGCATTTCTTAAGGATCTCTGGCTCCGGGTTAATGCTAGTAAGAGCTGGTCAAGGAATTAACTAGTTCTCTTTGTTTAAGACAAAGGGCCTTCTCTATAGACCCTCCTAATGTCTGCCCTAAAACTGCTTCTTTTCATGACTCTCAAGTATCAGCAACTCTTTACCTGGCCCTTGCACTTTCAGAGTCAGCGTAGATGCCTTGTGGTTTTGTGTCCCTAAATACTTTTCAAAGCATCCATAGCAAAGGTAATTGATGTGGACACAGAGGGGCCTGAGTGATGCCCTAAGGGTTTCTCTGTATCTGTGGAAATTAGGGAAAAATGGCCATGAGTGGTGCGTTCTGCTGCTTTGAACCCAGAAGCACATACCAGGCTGTGCAAAAAAGCACGTGTGATGGTCAGGTGGGAGTCATGGAATCCATTCCTCATTCCACCCAGACCTCAGTATCACGCCACCCTGACTTTTCCCTCACTTTTCCTAGCTTCCTGCTCTGTCCTTCCAGTGGCTCAGGTAACTTCCCCATTTCCTGCACGCCTCCCCCCTTGCCTGCCCGAGCTTCCATGGGCTGCACGGAATTGTAGCTTCTTGGCTACACATCTGTAATCTGGCCAGCTAGGCTGCCACATCTGTAATCTGGCCATCTAGGCCCAGCTGGTGCCACTGACCCTTAGACACACTCACCTTGAGAAAGAAGGGCCAGGTGTTTTTGTTTTTGTTTTTTTTTTTGTTTTTTTTTTTCAATAGGAAAGTCAAGATATCTTGGTTAACTGCAAAGCTGGCCTAGACCCAGCATAGGGGCTCATGAATTCTGCCTGCTGCTCTGTCTGGAGGGACGTCTCATTCTTCCAAGGCTGCCTTTTTTTACTCTCAGGATCATCCCGCCATATAAATGCTGTCTTCTCTCTTGTCATTTCCCAACAGTTTCATGATTGCATTGTAGTTTTGGGATCTGAAACATATTTTTATTTTATCTTTGACCACATCTGCACATTCCCTCAGCTTGGGGGGAAAGATAAGCTCATTATAATTTAATAAGCAAATGTTAGGAGCTTTAAAAGCAATATATTGAAAAGATATGTTTGCTTACTGTAAAATTCATCACTAATGGGGACTATTTGAACATATATGACTTGTGTCTCCATCTTTAAGAGCTAATTGTCTTGTGATAACAAAATATTTTCTTCC